CAACCTAGATCGGGTATCAAGATTGGGTCTGCTTGTTTTTAAAACCGTTTGTTTTTAAAACCTAGCTCAGGTTGAGGTTCACACTAACAAAAAGTTCGGTTTCGCACACTTCGATAATAAACGAATTCGCTATTAGTTTAATACGCTGAATGATAATCCGAGATTAAAATTGAGGATAATAAGGCATGGTGCTTATCAAAATCGAGGATCATTCGGGATCAGCGTATTATTCTCAATAGCGCTTACCGTTATTAGGGTCTGCCGCAGTCCTTTAATGTCAGTATAATGAATATTTGGAGTATACAGATCTAATTACTGCAATTAATCAATATCAATCAATACCACCGATTTTACCGAAATGAAACAATCAATTCCAGATTTTTCAAGCATATTACAGATAAGACCCTATTTTCTCGAGGTTGTAGAAGAAAAAATATTAAAATATTGTTGCACGTTAAAGTTCGAGTGGTAGGAAACGTCATTTTAAACTGCTCGAATGATGTGATCTATTTCAGACAAATTTCTACACAAGACCGGTATTCAGCGTCAGTTTAAGCTGCTCGAATTAAAATGATCAATTAATCTTATCAATCGAGCAGTTCAAAATGACGTATCCTACGATTCTAACTTTATCACTGAGAAATATTATGAGAACATTTCTAGATGAACATTTCTAGATGAACATTTCAAAAGGTCCTATCTGCATTGATCGATTCCCTTAATCGACTTTCACTTTCGTTAATAACTCAGCTGCTAAACCTTTCCCGGATGTATTTGACGTTTTGGACGCTAGATATGAACCTCCTGTGCATAGCAGTGGTTATCAAAAGAAAAAGTCGATAAAGAAAATCGATCAAAGCAGATAGAACCTTTTGAAATGTCCATCGAGATTTTTTCTAGAACTACGAGAAAAGAGGGTTGAAATTTAGTGCCGCTTTTTCTTAAAATCTCCAGTATTTTCGATTTCCAAGAAAAAGTTTCTTAGAATCACTGATAGAAAACTGCCTTAAAACTGGCAGGCTCGACTTATGAACGTCACATATGAATTTTATAGGCGTGACTTATGAATGTTTATCATCAAACATGAGGTAGCTCTTATTTGCCTTTAACCATTTGATTTTTCCAAGCGTTGAAAGACGTGTATTTAACACACGGTCCCTTAATCTCAACATCCATGATTCGATTCCAGTCTGCTACGCTTAATTTATTTGTTTGTCAACATTATTTTTCATAAGGCATAGCAATGAAATTCATACTGATTTCTTGTGGCTAAAATTCATAAATGGGCGTCAGCGTCAGCGTCCAATTAGAATCTGATCAAAATTGACGGACTGACGCAGCGTCGATGTGAAGTCGCCAAGTAGAGCTGTTGATGGAAAACAGCGTTGCCGGTACCAACAGTTTAAAAAATCGATATTTATCGGTATTTACTATCTTAATAAAATTTATTTTCTTGCCGTTTTTGATGCCAACAGATCAAACTTTTGGACTTAGAACGGAAAATTTGCTTTCCAGGAGAAGCCGGAAGAAATTCCCGGGCAATGTTTGAACTAGCTTCTGAAGGAAGCCGATCAAATTTCCAGAGAAAGAATAAAGTAGCTCTACTGGAGGAAGTTTGAAGAAAGTTCTAAGAAAAATCAATAAACTTCCGGGAAACTTCCAAGACAACTATCGAGAAACTTCTGATGACAAGTTAAAGCAGCTTTTGGAAAAAAAAATCGGATGACACATCCAGAGGAAGACAGAAGAAGCTCAGAAAAACCTTCCAATTGAAGCCCAAAATGAAATCTACGGAGAATGACTTAAGAAGAAATTTCCAGAGGAAGACGAATGGGATTTCTGGGAGATATATTTGGTGGAAGTTTAATTAAACTTCCTGTAGAAGAAGGAATACACTTTATGGAGACGGAAGTAGATGGAATAAACTTCCTAAGGTAGAGTGGAAGAAACTTCTGGAGAAAGTCGGAAGTCAGAGGGCTTACGGATCAGTCGCAAGAAACTTCAAGGAGAAGTTGGGGAAAAATTCCGGAAGAAAGAGATTTCTTGGAGATTATAGCACAACATTACCTGGCGTTCCTTACATGCTCTAATGATCCTGAGTAATTTTCCTAATTTTTATAAAACATCCCTGAAGACCCAACAATGCCCCTAAAGTTTCCTGAAATGCACTTCGAAATATCACATAATTCCTCGGAGCTCCTTGAAAGTTCTTGAACTTTTCCTAAAGTTTATGGGACTGTTTTGAAGTTCTCTGATCATCCTCGAAGTACTGGGAACTTCCTTGATTATGAAACTACCAGAAAATCTCTTATCTTCTTTGAAGGTGTCCGAACTTTCATGAAGGTTTCAGAGCTTCTTAAGTGCTCTCACAATATTTGAAGCTCTCTGATCTTATCGATTTTTTTTTAATTTTTAAAAGTTCTCAAAACTTCTCTCTCACAATTTTATAATATTCATGTTACTTCTCTTAAGTTCCCAAAATTTCCATGAACCTCTCGGTACTTTGCTCAAGTTATCGGAAATTCCCCGAGTTTCTCGGAACTCTTTTAAAGTTTCAGCAATTTCATTTAAATTAATTGATTTTTTTCTGATGTTCTCAGAGCTTCCCTAAGTTCCCTGAATTGCCCCTGAAAATGGAATAGTCCTGAAAACCATTAGATTTCCTTGAAATGCTTTGCATTTGTGAAGTGTCCAAAATATTTTTGATGTTTCCTTAGATTTATTGGAGTTCTCTGGACTTTCCTGAAATTCCCGGGTTCTCTAATTTTAACAGAATTGAAAGAAACTTTATTTAATTCATCGGAACTTACCCTGACAGATCTTTAAACTTACCCAAAAGTTTGAACTATTCTCGAATATTCAGTCCTTCTTAAAAGTTCCTGCAGTTTTCCTGAAGCAAAAATGGAACCGCAATAAAACACTTTAAGCACAGACAAACAGACATAACACTCACAAGTTGTTCATCGAACAAGCATTTAACGGTCAATTTGAAAGTATCTCAGTTGGTAGCACCGCCACGTGTGGCGCGCATAGTCAATTCCCTTGCGTTTGACGTTTACACACTACCGCCATCTATTCAGCGTACTACCCACCACAGTGTACTCAACAGATGGCGGTAATGTTTTAACGACGATGTTTTACAATGAGAAATATTCAATGTGTTATGTCTGTTTGTCTGTGCTTTAAGCATCCCTGGTGTTCCGGGGAAGTTGAAAAAGCAAACTGGCGGGAGAAGACGGAAGCCAGAAGAAACATCCAAGAGAAGTCGAAATTACATTCCCATAGGAATCTATTTAATTAAATAACTAACGGGGTAAGGTGGAACAAAATTCCAAGGGAAGATTGAATAAACTTTAGGAAGTTAAAAATTCCTATTTATTCATTGAATAAAAGTATTTCCCAATTGGGTTGTTGAATTTTGAAAAACATGCCGGTTTTTATATATCATCTGAAAGAGCGTCGTTTTCTGAGCACTAATATATTTTTATCAATCCCGTAGACATTAATCTTGATTTGTAAACCAAGTTTTAAATTGTCAATAAATTGCATTCGATGGCATTAATATCCATTAATTGACAGTTCGCTCAATGGCGAGGGGCGCTAAGATGGTTATTTTTGCTAATGTAATCGTACTTATTTAAAATAGTTCCATTGTACCAAAATTGATGAAATTTTGGATTTCGGTTCCATTTTTAATACAGATATCGAATATGTATTTACCTCAATTCAACAACCCAATTTCCTGGAATCACCGGGATGATTCATCAGTTGTTTCTCAATTCCTGGGTAGCCAAAATCGGCGAGGAAATGGAAAAATTAATCGAAACAGTATCAAGCATAAGACGGAACTAAAAATAAGAGATATTCAAAAAATAAAAGTCTCTCACAATGGCTTCCTCCAACAGTTTAGCGTGAACAGGCAATCATTTTGATTATTATAAAAAATCGGTATAAAATCTAAAAAATCGGTATTCTGATAAGCCACAGCTGTGCATCGGTATTAATACCGATGAATCGGTATATCTGGCAACGCTGGTGGAAAAGCAGCTTAACATGCGTTACACCTGTCATTTGACGGACGAACCCCTTCTTCAACGCTGACGGTGACGCCAGAGGTGTATAAACCAGTTTTGTAAGGAGATTTTCGAAAAATCGATGATTTATCTTCAAACCTTGCTTCTAGCGCTGAGAAAACATTTGCTACATTTGATTCTTTTTAGTCATAATATATCGGACAAAATGCACCATTATTGATATTTTTTTAATTAAAAGTGGATTTCGCCATACATTCTCGAAGTCGATTTTCCACCGGAGCCGATACGATTGAGGCTGCTCGCCCTCTGGCGGTGAGTGCTGTCAGAAGCAGCATGAAACACCTAATTACGTCATATCAAATGCCATGCTTTAGTCCATTAATTACCACCATTTCAATAGTAGCTAAGCTCCCCTTCCCCAGTGGGCTTTAAATTGAGCTTTATATAATTTCCGCCCCCTAGGCAATGATGCCGCACTGTTTGAGTTCGAGCAAACTTCCGTCTCCAGAGCCAATGTTGAACGTTTCAATTTCCTTCCACGATGCTCTTGCTCTCCTGTTGGGAACTGCCACTGCACTTCGGTATTTCCCTTTCTTATTTCCTTTTTCCCACTTCGCATTCCAGTAGTAGGTGGGTAGTTTACGCGGGAGTAAAATGTATCAGCACGTGCTTTTACGGGACTTTGATTGAGTTAAATGGTGAAAATCTCCCTGGATTCGAAGAGAGAAAAAATTCGAAAACCCAGACGAACTGAAATCAATTTATCTTTTTCAAAGCTTGCTTTATTGAAAAAGTTTTCGCTGAGTGCTGCAATTTTTCTCCGCCTCAGTTGACCATGAAGCGTTGGAATTGGAAAACCGCAGAACGTGACCCGGCTACCAACGGCCTGCTGTGATTTTTCTATTTGTTTGCAATGAGTGTAATAATTTCTTGTGATTTGTTTTTTCTCTTTTCCTTAACCGCCAGGTGGCTAAGTTACTGCAGAAGGGCGTCACGCCGGACGCGACCAACATGGACGGTCTGACGGCGCTGCACCAATGCTGTATCGACGACAATGCGGAGATGTTGAACCTGCTGCTCGACTACGGGGCGAACGTGAATGCCCAGGACAGCGAGCGATGGACCCCGCTGCATGCGGCCGCCACCTGTGGCCATCTGAATCTGGTCAAGATTCTGATCGGGCGCGGTGCGAACCTGCTCTCGGTGAATGCCGACGGGAACATGCCGTACGACATCTGCGACGACGAGGAAGCGCTGGACTACATCGAGGCGGAAATGTCCAAGCGGGGCGTGACGCAGGAGCTGATCGACGAGACGCGAGCGGCGACCGAGACGCAGATGCTCAAGGATCTGCAGGACATTGCCGTCCAGGGAGGGGATCTGGAAGTACCTGACAGCCAAGGGGCGACGCCGGTAAAGTTACAAAACTACCTTGAAATTGAGCTCAATTTTTACTAATTGATTCACATACTTTCAGCTTCACATAGCGTCCGCCAATGGCTACACGAGAGTGGTTGAGTTCCTATTAGAGCAGCATGTATCGACAGACGCCGTAGACCACGATCTATGGACACCGGTACATGCTGCCGCCTGTTGGGGTCACGTAAGCTCTAAACCTAACCTCAAACGATTTCGCAATTCAAACTAATCCTGTTTTTAGCTCGAAGTCCTGGAGATGCTAGCGCAAAGTGGCGCCGATTTGAATGCCAAAAACAAAAACGACGAAACACCTTCCGGTAATTGCCATCTGTCAAGATTGACCTACCCCGCCCTCTTAACGCCCTTTTCCCCCATCCCCAGACATTTGCGAAGATCCGGAAATTCGCGAACGGATAGAACAGCTCAAATCGGAACAGGAGAGCAAACGACTGGCCGAAGCCCAGCGGAAGCGGGTGCGGCGATCCCAAAGCAATAACACCAGGTACAAACGTCCGAAGACGGAAAATACATAACCTCTCTTATTCAACATTTGTTTTCCCGCGAATCCAGGGCCCAATCGGTGCGGCGAACCTCGCTGCGAGACAAAGGTCTCACCACCAAGAAGGACGCCGTCGAGGAAGCCCGGTTCCGATTGCAAGCGCAAGAGGTAAGTGTCTCCCATTTCCAGTGAAATTAAATTTTCATATGCCATGCCCGTGGTGGGAGTTGCGGCGCGGCGTAGAGCTTGTTCTCAATTGCTATCAGCAGCATTCCCGGGCAAGGATTACCCTCTTGAATTATTTAAACGTAGGTATATAATGGGCGAAAGTTTATCGTCTCCGCCCGCTCCGAATGAACCCGGGCTCAGGACGAGAAAGTTTTGACTAGGCGGCAATGATGATAAGCTTGTCTGTTCCGTGAAATGGCTGCGACGATGGAGCTGGGTTTTTCCAATAATACTTACAATTGGAGGAAAAGTTTAGGTACGGGTGAACTAGCTGGTGTTGATTCGAGGGGTTGGTTAGTTAATTGAGTTCAGTGTCGCTGTTGAAGGCGCACAAGTTGACTCGTGAATGATAACGTGGGATGATTTCTGGTATTGACACGGGATGCAAAAGTTACCCGAGGTGATGATACGAGTATCGTTTCAATTACACCTCGTTGGGAAAGGACGGGGAGCTTCTGAGCGTGAGAAAATGCTTCACTGTTGACTTCCGTTGTGTGAGTGTGCAACTTATTACTGTGGATCAGCATTCCATCCGGGCGGGGCCTCTACAACTGACACAAGAAGCAGTTTTGAGGCCCTCCTAAAGTCATCTACCATGTTAAAACCCAATCGATAAAATAAGAAACTTCGATATTATCTAAGTTTGTAATCTGACTGTCATTAGTACACCGGCAGTGTTGGCAGGAAAAGTGATTTTTGACATTTAATTCGAAACATCGATCTTTGAACAGCTATAACTTTGTTTAGAGACATTCCAACACTGTACATCCTTCGGCAAAGTTGTTGGACTATACTTTAACATGATTACTTGCATGGTTTAAGGAAAATTCAAAAATCAAAAAAGTAGGGTTTTCCATACAAATCCCTGCTGATTTTTTATTCATCAGCTGGTAATAGACTCTGAGTGGTCACTGGATGGTCCTCTGAAAAATCCGTAAATTTAAGCACTTGATTGCCTTGATTTGTCTCTATAACTAAAAGGTAGACAAATTCTGTACATTTTATGTTATATCAGCTGAACATATACACTGAGTGGTCATCGGATGGTCCTCTGGAAGATCCGGAGTATGCGTAAAATTAAATAGTTTTTATTTATAGGTAAATTTGATTTGGTTTGATAGGTAAAAATGCTGATTTTTGAACTGGTTATGGAGTGGGCACGGGATGGTTTCCTGAAAGATCCGGAACATCCGTAGAATTAAATACTTGATGCATTTAAAACAGCAAAATAGCAAAAAAATCTTCCATTTAATTCCACCTAATTATATTGGTATCCATGACAGATACGTATTTCGACTACAATGTGCAGTCTTCATCAATGTCATTCCCACTAAAGAACTTATCAAAATTTAACCCCCTTAAGTACTCATCCCCTAGGTAAAAAAGTCAAGATCATAGGTATAAAAATGAAACTACAATGTGTTGAATCGGAACCTACCTAACTAATAAAAACCAAAGATTTAAGTAAGCTAAAGGAGAAAAATCTATAATAAGGAAAATCCCCAAAGGCTTGGTAGCCATCATAATGAAGTAATTAAATTGGGTTGTTAGCGGAATGCTAAATAAAACAGCAAAAAAGGTTATCTTCCATTTAATTCCTCTTAATTAATTTTGGTATCCATGACAGATACGTATTTCGACTACAATGTGCAGTCTTCGTCAGTGTCATTCCCACTAAAGAACGTATCAAAATGTAGTTTCATTTTTATACCTATGATTTTGACTTTTTTACCTAGGGGATGAGTACTTAAGGGGGTTAGATTTTTAATAAAGATAAATTCCAAAAATATTCAGAGAACATTATGCTGATCTTCTGAGTGTCTTTGGAATAATTTGTGATCAACCAACACTTGAGAGAATTTCTAAGAGTCATGATTTGTATAATCAAATAATTAGAGATCTTCAAAATAATTATCTATCAATCAACCAGAAGAATTTCTAAAATATCAAAAGACCATAGTGCAAGTATATGATCTTCGGAAGATTTTTGTAAAAATTCCTGACCAACCTACACTTGCGAGAATTTCTAAGAGACATGATTTTATTTATTGAACTATTAAATAGAGGTCTTAAGAATTTACGGTTTAGTGACTTTGTCTTAAGAATAATAATCAACTAACGAGAAATATTCAGATACCATAGTGCAGATCTATGATCTTCTGAAGTTTTTAGAAAATTTTTGATCAAACCTCTTTCTTGCGCGAATATTTAAGAGTTATGATTTTATTTACTGAGCAATAAGAGATCTTTGGAATATTAACCAATCAATCAGAAGAATTGCCAAAATATTCAGAGACCATAGTGCTGGTCTATGATCTTCTGAAGGTCTTTGGATCAATTTATGATCAACTTCTCTAGGGGATAATTTCTAAGAGACATGATTTGGTTTATTAAAGTATTAGAGGTCTTCAGCTTGAGCTTGAGCTTGATTGACCGCCCACGGTTGCTACTCTGTTACTGCCAGATCAGCTGTAATTACACAGAGAACCAATAGACGATGCTTGGGACTAGCAATCATCCTCAAAGTGTAAAAACTGGTGATCTTAAGTTAGGCAATACCAGCGCCGGCCGCGCCCGAACACAGGTCAAGAAAGAAATGGGAAGGATTGTGTTGACATGACACTCGCTTTGATGGAAGCCAAGAACACCTCTGCACTTCCACGAGGAATCACTGGGATGTTGGATAAGAGGGTTGGGTTTGCAGCAGGGTTCGTTTTGGTAAACGATAAGCTGAATTGATGTCCTAACGATCATATAACGCGAAGGAGCTTGGGACTAAACCCACGGTCTTCTGCTCAGTAAGCAAAAACGTTTGCCACTAGGCAGACGAGCACCTTTTTAATCACCGAGTTGCTGTTATTACCATGACAAATAAAACGATGGACGAATCTTGAATGTGGATGGGCCTGAGATTAGACTCATGATGTTCTGCTCAGTAAGCAAAAACGGTTGCTCTAAGGCCACCGAGCCCCTCATATCACATAATACCGTTGCTCAAATTTTTGTATCTATTCAAACCCGGAACCAACGACAACAACGAGTTTCGCAAAATACACGATAAACAAGCGATTTTATCATAAATCTCTTTGATATGTAAGGACCTGGGACCGCGTTTTTCTGCTCAGTAAGCAGGCCACTGTAACCGACGATCTTTCAAATCCGAAAACTAAAAACTACGGAAAAGTACTTAGGCCTTCATTAAGTTCCACTTTCACGCGACGTTCAATGACAGGGTCCTATCCAGGATTACATCACAAATCCAAATCTGGCCAACTCCCACCTAAACCTGTTCTAATCCACCTGAAATGACTAACGAATGGAAGACTTTGACTACCCAGCCATGCAATAGTCTCATTGCGTGCCTTATGGCAACTTGATGATTCTATTGCGCTCATCTTCTGGCACCACCCAGGGGAGACTTGGTCCTGTACCCAATGCTTAACTTATCTCCATTCCACTCAGCTACTCGCAATTTCTTGTGATATAGTGGGTGGAATATTATTATATGAGACAAGTCAATGCAGACGTCTTTCCAAATTTGGCAGATCGACAGGTAATCGGTGAGTTACCACGATAGTTGCTATTCCACAACTCGACAACGTCCCATCGTCAACGCCTGCTATGAGAATTTCCCATTGCAGACGCCAACGAAATGACGTCATCGAGCTATCGGTCAACTACCCTGGTTATCGCCTGGTACCTTATAGCACGATGCTAGGAGGCGAACCGGAAGAATCGATGAGCTACCCCTCCCCCTATTAAAGTATTAGAGGTCTTCAGAATAATAAGTAACTAACCAGAGACCGTAGTGTAGGTCTATGATCTTCTGAAGTTCTTTATAAAATTGTCGATCAACCTCTTGCGAGAATATCTAGAAGTCATTATTTCATTTGGGCTTGCAGCCATTCGTTTGCTATAAAAAAACTACAAGGGACAGCCCTATGGGGTTGTACGGAATGGTGACGTAGGACTACGTGGTCGTAATATATAATTAATCTTATTTGTTTTAAAATAGCAAAAAAAGGGTTATCTTGCATTTAATTCCACTTAATTAATTTTGGTATCCATGACAGATACGTATTTAGACTACAATATGCAGTCAGTGTCATTCCCACTAAAGACTTATCAAAAAACCTAACCCCCTTAAGTACTCATCCTCTAGGTAGAAATGTCAATATAACAGGTTTAAAAATGAAACTACAACGTGTAGAATCGGAACCTACCTAACTAATAAAAACCCAAGATTTAAGTAAAGAAGAAAAATCTATTCAAATCTCTAATAAGGAATGTTAACTGCAGCAGGAGCTTGTGTTTTGTGTAGGAATAGGAATTTGAGCGGGGTTCTCTCACCGACAAACGGACATGAATGATCTTACAAATTACCATCACATTTCTGATCAAAGCACAAAACTGACATCTGCCGCCGTGGTCGCGAAAAATGTGTATCCTAGCCACGAGCACGCGTAAAAATGTATAACTCATCGTGATTCGTGTCTAATCTATTTTTCGGATTTATGAAGCTATGAAATATTTTAATCATATTCTTATTTACAAGATGCCAGAAGAGAAGGTAAAGTGTTTGTATGATACATAAAACCTGTCAATTTAGCTTTCAGAGGGTCACAATAGCGTTTAGCTGTAACGATGAGCAACGCGATGAGCGAGCAATCAGCGATCGTAAAATCGATAGTTGTGACCTTCTGAAAGCAAAATTGACAAATTGTCTATGCCATACACAAACTTTACCACCCATTCTTGCTTCTTACAAATAAAAATTATCATAATAGTATCTCATAGTTTTGTAATTCCGAAAAATAGCATTTTAGCTGTAATGAGCAATTGCAAGCCTGGTTTTGACAGATGGGATCGCTGCATATTTGAATCGGCCGTTACGGATTCTCAATCAAGAATTAAGTTTATGTTTCATGACGGTGGTTCTC